GTGTTTGATATTAATTATTCCCTGGATACAAGTTAACAAATGTCAATATGGAATATTTCTTCCAGAGAGATGTTTGTCAATTGTCAATAGTATTTTGCTTACACGACAAGCAAACACTTGTTAGCATCAATAGATTTGATAAGTCTTTAGTTGTATCATCAATGATGGGCTTCAAAACACATTGTCAAAGGAGATTTAGGGGGAAAAGTAGAATAAGCACAACAAACAATTTTGGCCTTTTTCTGCCTGTGTTTCAGTGATACTTCCTGATAGAAGTCAATTGTTCAGTTCAGGACCAGAGCCAGTCAATGGTAAAACAAACCTGCTTATAGCTTAGTTCAATTCAGTCATATTTTTGTATTTTAGCTCCTACAAGAAAGACAGAACAAGGGAAGGGGATGGTGTATACCCAAAAGCCTGAGGAAAGACCATGTAGTCCTGTGTCGGGGTCACATCTCAAGTGCACACACCATCTATGTCAGCATTAATAGGCAACTCTCCTATACCAGTAACCTATAGAATATTATTTTTATTCTATCAAGACACCATAAGAGAAAAAGGTACAAGATGTGACTTGCTTCAGGTTGCAGATAAGATGCCTCTGGCCTTTGTCTAATTGTAGTCACTAAATACATTTCACCAAGAGCCTACTCAGTATAGGTTATCATACTCACTAGGGTCTTCAAAAACATGATTCGGCTGGCCTGACATCTGAAACGATGTTGACACTCTCTGCAATGTGTGTAAAAAAGATGAGAGAAAAACCTGCAGGAATTTAGGAGTGTCAGATATCTCAGATGACTCCAGGCCAAAGCAGAGGGCAGAGATGGAAACCAAGCTTCAGTGCCCCAGACAGCAGATTTATTGACAAGACTGTTTTTTTCAGCTTTAGCCTTTCCAAAACCTTGTTGAATCTACAAATAGTCATCATGCAGTAAATGTAATAGTCCAAGTCTTCAGCATGAATAAACGAGCACCTGTTGAGCTTGGTAAGGATGTAAGAGTACTCAAGGATGAGGACTTCAGTGAGGACGGCTGAAACAGCACTTCAAACATGCAGGAGAGAGCCAGGAACTACTCAGAACCTCTGAAATACCAAAGGAAACAACCTCTTCTACTTGACTGTGAGACAAAGAGGAGCAATGAAGCAGCTTGAACACACAGAATTGAGTCATCTTCCCCTTTCCCGTTACTACCTGGAAAGAGGGAAGACGGTTCATTTTCTGCCAAAGCAGATGCACAGCACAAACTCATAGAAAAAAGACAGGCAGGAAGAAGAAAAAGAAAGGCAAAGAAAAGTCTAGAATTTAGATAGTGAAAAGAAAGGAATTCAGAGCCATTGCAATGACCTGTCTGACCTAGGAAGTATTGGATGTGGCAGACAGCAAACAAGACCAGCAGAGAATAAAAGGGTCACTGACTCCAGACACAGCATTTCTATCCAAAAGCCAGTGGGTAACCTTTTGCAACAAAACCCCCTTTTTTAAAAAAAAAGAATTATAGACACTGACAACAGCCAGATTAAACCAGCAGCAAACCTGATTTTCTTTATTTTTCTCAAAAACAATAGCCCCAGCTTCACTAAATCAAATCATGACATACCTGTATTTTTTTTTTTTTTGCTTTAACACAAAACAGACATTTTAAAGACAACTAAAGAGAAAGAAAGAGATCTATTTCAAAGTGCAGTTGAACATTTTCTCTGGAAGATTTCTTCTCTTGCAATGTCCTTAACACTGCCAGTGCCATATTTCAGCACAACTAAAAGACAGATCTTCTCCATATTACAGCCTTGCAAACTTCTTTGTTTTGTTCGTTTGGTCATTCCTCAGAGGCTCAGTGTTGTTTGGAGACATTTACAACAATTAATTGCCCCTCGAGTTCCCAGGAGCAAATTTTTATCTTCTCAAACGAGGTGGGAATCAGGTTAAAGGTTACAGAGAAATGACTGACCAGATACAAACTGTGAATGCTGCATTAGCCAAAATGACTCTTGGGATTGAAAGCCTACTATTACTTAAGAAAAGAGAGGATTCATTCAATTATTTTACTGTATTAGTAAGCTAACAGGTATGGTGTATGAGGAGAGGAAAACCAGACATTCACTATCTTTTCTGAACAGAATGAAATAAACTATGAAATGTTTATTTTTTAATAGCTAGTAAACATATTAATATTCAACTGCAGAGCAGTAAGAAAAAGAAGGTTATAACTAGGCTGATATAACTGCCAGGGCTGCTACAATCTCCTATTATGTACCAGGATATCAGCATATGTTCCTCAGTCCTAATTTAATCTCATACATATTCTTCATCAGTTACCATTAAGAGAAGTTTTTCACCTGATGTCATGTGGAACTGAAACAGTATTGCTGATGGTCACAGTGACATAAAGCAAAGGGAAAAAACAGTCAAATGGAAAGGGCTGACAAGAAACAGCCCAGAAGGGACTCACTTAAGCCTCACAAGCTTCTCAGGGATAAGAACTGTGGTATGACTGGTCATGTGCAGGGCTAGGCTCAAAAGAACTTATGTTAATAACTTAAAAACGGGCAACAGCATTAAAGCTCAACAAAACCACAATGTCTGTGGCCAACAATGCTGTCATGTACACACATGCATCCAAGTCGGCTGGGGACTACATTCCCTGGCGCAGACATCCTTCAGAAGCACCCTCTTTCCCCTGCACCACACTGAATAACAGAGTCTAGTGGGACTCTAAGCAGGCATCCTCCCTTTTTTTCCTGGAGTGCAATAAAGAGAACAGGCAAAAGAGAAATGCAACGGAGCTGTTACGCAATTCTTCCTGCGAATGGAGAGATCGGACAAGGCATTCAAAAGGAAAAGCTGAGGCAACAAACTAATGAGGAATGAGTTGTGCTGCACTTAGGCTAAAGCCTTCTGCATTTTCAGCCAGTCTAAGACAGGAGTGGCACAGCTACAGCTGAGCACAGACACATAAACAACTATTTGAGGTTCTTTCCATGCTACCTTGTACTTTGCTCCACTGTCTCAATTAGCATAGCTTCACTAGCCCTAGTGTAAGCAGCTAGTGTTAAGCAGTAATATATGAGCAGAATATATGATAGAAGGAGGATACATTTACAAGTCAAATGTCAGGTGTGCAGATAGCTGAGAGCTACTGAAATACGTTTTTGTTTTAAAATTGTTTAAACTCAGTAAGTTTCATCACCAAAATTAATACCTGCTGTTTGTGCTGTACCAGACAGAAGAACCTGTTTAGCGTAGTGATAATCATCAGCTAAGTTGTGTATCTAAGACTTTACTGCACCTGCTTCTCCACCACTAACACAAGCTTCAGAACTAAATTACATCTCAGCCAAACCTTGATCATCATACGAAGCACGCACTGCAGAACAACTCAAACACACACCAACAAATCTTTGTGTAATGCCCTGAGACACAAATGAAGACAAGCCTAACAGTATCTAATAGCATCAGACAATGAAGGAAACTATCAGGTTTTCTAGCATGAATCTCAAGTCCCATCCTGTTTCCCTCTGCCCCAGGCAAGATATCTTGCTTCTCTGCTTCTCCAGGTCTGTGTTCTTTTAGGCATGTTAATAACTTGAAGCTTATAAGATGACTAAGTAGGAGACAACCAGTTCTCTTCCTATGGGTCCTGGGAAGAACATAAACATAGACCTCTACAAACAAAAGGTCAGCACGTCCCAGGTCTATGGGAGTGCAAAAGGATCCAGGAAGAATGTCTTAAATATTGCAGATGACTGTCTCTACTAGAGTTGAACCGTCAAGGTACTACCAGCCTTAAGAACAGGCAAGGAGAGTCAATGCTGCAAAGAGCTTACAATATGCATTCGACCTGCACTTATTTTGTACTGTAAATTTTCCTCCTGATTTTGCCTTGAAATTTTCCTGTATACAATATCCTCCTCTATTTGAAAAGTCACAACATTTTCTCACTGCTGCACAGGGTATACAATTATAGTGATGCAATTTTCACAGGGAGGTGGTATTTAGAGGAGCTAATATCACAGACACAACCAACGTGAGGAAAATGGATGGAAGCACAGAAAAAAGAGAGACGAAAAAGATAAAGTCAGATCCACAAAAAGAAGCAAAATGTTGAAATTGGAACTTCAGCAGAGATGTTTAGGTGCAGGAGATGGAAAAGATGATCAAAGCCCTTCAACAGATTTTCATTAGGGGAAAAAAAAAAAATAAAAAATCGACAGCAAGTTAAGTTCTGGCTACACACAAAAGCATAACTCCATGTAGGCAGGGATGGTCAGCTGGCTCTGCTCCAATGCCCACGCCTGATCGATATTCTCTCAGTAGATATTCTACTTCTGTCTGCAAAGGGGACCGATGACCTCAGCATGCTAATATGCATCTCTAGAAATAACTTCTACTCAATACACACAGACTAATGTCTTCTCCTGTTGTTCAAAAAGAAAAGAGCAACTGCACCTCCATCTGCAAAAGGAAGTGTTAGAGCATACCAGGCTACAATTCCAGCCTGTGAACGTTAATTAAGCACAGACTATCCTGCGGAGCAGAATCAGATATTTTAGAAAACTCAAGCTGAAAAGAGTACAAATCAGCCTTTAGAATTAGCTATTTGCTTAATCCCCGTTTTCCTTCTCACTCTACTGTGGCACTACAACTATTAAGAATAATATTTTAGGTACCTAAGCCTCCTCACGAATCCCACTTTAGGAGCCAGATGTTCAAAATTCAACGTGGCAATGCTCAGCATTACCACATCTGCATTTCTGAGTGGAACTGACTTGAGAAAGCACCACTCAAGACTGACCAGCAAACCTGAGTGTGGATCAGGAACTGAAAAGCCAGTCCCGTAGTTCAGAGTGAAATAATTTTCCTCCCAGATTGCCCCTTTAGTAACTCATCCTCAGTGTTCACATCATCATCTGTATTTTTTCAGCACACTAGTCATAGTCCTATAACACAGCTGCATTGCTGCACGAGGAAGCTTCTGGTCCAAACCAACTTTTTTACCTTTGGATCAGCAGTCAGCAGCTTGAATGCTTGATATACTTGTGCTTCTTTCACACCTCCACCAAGATCCAAGAAGTTGGCTGGCTTTCCACCATTGAGGGATATTATATCACATGTTGCCATTGCAAGTCCAGCTCCATTGACTGTAATTGTAAACATAAAGTGCTTAAATTTCACATAAAAGTATATAAGACTTGTGAAAAGGCTTAAAACATACCAGCACAACCACATAACATGGCTCAAAAAGTTACATAAATAGCTATCTCTAAATAGGCGAGTACCTATTCAAGGATGTCCAATGCAACAAATAATTCAAAATCTGGTGCATACGCACCAACATTCAGGTTTCTTTATGACTGTATCGACTTTAGGACTTAGATGTGCACCTTCCCTTAAGCATGTATGAGCACTAGAAATGCAAAAACTTCTGATTAAAAAAAAAAGACACATAAAAACTTCTGGGAATATGAGACACTAAGGACAAATTGACTCCTTAAGCTCCCCTTCCATCATTCTGATAGCAGCAGGTGATGCTTTGTATTACTGTAAAAGACACAACTAAATTTTGGGGACAGATACCAGATGCTCCTTTAAACTGCCTTTTATTTTGCATTTGCACCCGTCAAGAAGCATTCCCATGGGCACAAACATCCTCTAAGCTAGGAAAAGCAGATAAGAATTATTTGTTCCCAGTAAGTTTTTTCTTCTGGACAAAGTAAGGCTTATGTGTCACCTGTAATTCAACAGCAATACCTAATACTATAGAACATACTGTAGTGCTGCCAATTATTGTGGGGTTTTTTTTTGTTTTGTTTTGTTTTAAATTGAGATTAAAGTCTCGCTGTCATTACTGAATCAACTACAACACATTATTAGTATCTTCTAGATTTATGGTTGGAGTACACATCTAAGCAATGTAAATGCTGGACATTATCTCGCTAAGCTGAGATAAAATGCCTAATTCAATTGGATTCATAATAAGATGTTGTACTGGCTAAAAGAATTTGTACAAAATGAAAAGTATTTAGAGCCTAGCTGACTTTTTTTACTTATCTCTTTTAAACATAAGAGTAATTTGTGTTCTACAGAAGATTCAGGAAAATAAAAAAAAAAAGGTAATTTCCTTTTAACAACCAAGCAGCTTCTTCAGCAGCTTTCCTTAAAGGGAAATGGAGTTCAATATTCAATTGTCAGTGTTTTAACACACGTACTTTTGCAGTGTCTTTTAAGTAACACAGCCTCATTTTTTAGAACTGATGATCAAATTTTGATGACTTTTCTTGTTTTGATTTAATTACTGGAAAGGCCAATTGCATCAGCTTAAAAATTCAGAAGGTAGAAACCCCACAGGCTCCCCCATCAGCCTGCCTCCTCTGTGACACCACACATGCCCTGCTTGTCCTCGGTGGTCTTCATCACAGTTTCAACACAATTTTAGTTTCATTCTTGCAAGAACCTGCAGAAGGACAAACCTCAGCAAAACAGACTGAAATACTATCAACAGCGGATTGAATGTCAGAATGTAAACAAAGCCTATACACTGAACAAGTACGAATTTGTCTTCAAATGTCTTTTGGATTTATTTGTTCTTACCAAAGCAAGCAATATTTCCATCCAGTCCTATATATTTTAAGTCATATTTGGCAGCTTCGTTCTCTATAGGCTCATTTTCAGACTTGTCATCCATGGCAAATATTTCTTTTTGCCTAAATTCTGCATTGTCATCAAAGTTTATCTTGGCATCAAAACAAACAACTAAAGAAAAAAAATAAAACAACATATAGGCATTTAGAGATGACAGTTAGAGCTTCTGAAATATTACAACTACCACAGCAAGGACGGGGACAAGGTTGCTTAGGGACCGATGCTGCTTCCAATATAAGATCTGCTGATGATCTGGCATTGAGTCCAGTAGAGAAGGGCAAGTTTTCCTTAAATCCTGCATTGAGAAAAGGCACAGGAAGCATCTCCATGCTACACAGCCACGTGCCCTTGGCACAGGATGATCTTCTGTATTTGCTTGAAACAAAGTTCTCCTAAACTACGAAGGCAGTTTTTATGATTTGGACAGGTGGTCTGCAGTCATTTCATAAGAGAGTCTACTTCCAATATTTTGAAAGTATGACAGATATAACAGGTAACAGGTTAGCAATCCAAAGCGATGTTTGGTAACGCACTCATTTATAGTTGAGCAACATAAAATGCTTTCCTCAGTCCTATTTTTAATTTATAATGTTATTATCTATACATGCATTATTTCCCTAAAGATCTGAATTAAAATAACTTTAGGTCAATGTATGTTAAAAATTATCAAAAGGTGACTTTTAAATAAAGAAAATTCAAAAAGTAAATACAAAACTTCTTGTCAATGTCAACATCCGCTATGGTTGTAAAACAATTTGAGAAGTAGATAAACCCGACTCTTTTAGATAACAGATACAAAATACTAGCTAGTAGATGTAATATTTACATAAAACCATCAGTAACAGAGATGCATGTTAAGAGTAAACTGGTTATTTGCTTATTTCCTGACTCACTATTTCTATGGGTTTGCGTAGGCAAACACCTCATTAGATCAAAATGCTCTAAGTAAACGTAAGAGTATATTCTTTTATATATTCACTATTTAAGTAACTCGACCTGTGCTATATCCAGATTCTAATTACTGACTGAAGTATAATTGATTTCTCACTACAAATCAGTCAGATTTAAGTGCCTTTAAATGTTGCATCCACAAAAATCTAACAGTTTTTCTTTCTGTTATGTTGTGATTCATACTGGCATTGAAACACATACCTGGTATGTGTGCACCTGCTCATGAGCATCGTACACGTCTCCGCAACTACAGGCCAATTGCAATTAAAAAGACAATTTTTAGTCTTTAGTATAGATACTCAGAATAAATAATTACACAACTTTTTTGGTGGACAAATACTTTTTTTTAAAATACACAATTGCTTAACTTAGGAGAAAATATCTAAGCAAACAGCAAACAAAATATTTACACAAATAGGAGAGTCTCAATTATATGTCCTTATTTGCATTGGCTTTTCTTGTTTTGGTTTTCTGATGTTGCTTGGGGTTTTGTGGTTGTTTTTTTTTAAATACATTTGATTTGTAAACAAACACCAGATTAAATTAAACAGGATCGAATTTAGTTTCAGTGACTGCAGTTTCAGAAATCATTCATAAGTGTTTGTGTCTAAGAAATCTCTCTTGGAAGAGTCTAGATCTTACCTGGTCAACCATCATCTGAGAATCTGTCAAAAGGAGAAACGTCTGAAGTTCATAATATGCTTCTACTGCACTAGAGCTGCTTTAATTTTTTTAACAATGAACTAAGACCTGTACCATTTTTTCTTCTTCAAGCTTTCAATTCCTTAAGTTGCTAAAACAACTCAAAGCTAGAGTAAAGCTGCAATTTCAGAGTTCTGTTTACCTTAGACATGAACATCCTCAGTGTCACATTAATAGAATCTCATTTCTACAGAACATTCATCATTAACAAAGGCCATGCTATACCACGTAGCAGGAAAAACACCAATTAATATTTATCAAACCATTTTCACCATCAAAAGCACATTGTTACATGCATGATAGATTATACAAATGAATTTTTCTTCTAAACAAATATCAAAGAAACCTGCAACACCTATACTCATGGAGTACTTCTGCTGTTTTTGCTAGCAGTACAGGACTTTTGTCATCTGCCAAATCAACAGCTTACACTAAGAGCAAACAAAACAAAAAAACCCAAAGGAATTGGTAGTTACAGGCTTCTGACCCAACAGTGTTAGCAAAGAATTTGCTACAAATTAAACAAAAGGAAATGCATACGACAATGTATTTTCTAATGGAAATTCACACAAGTGAATTTTGTGCACAAAACACAGCAAGAAATAAATTCATCTTAACTGTTACTTTGACAGAAACAATAGTCTTCATGCAGAGACTTATATTTTATCATTAGAAATAACTGCATTAAGCTACTCGAATGTTCTTCATTTATTATATCTTTATTCTTCTCGAAGAGATTTCAGATGGAGAAACTGTCAGAAAAAAAAAAGAAATAAGCACAGGAAGACTTCTGTGTATGTCTGCTAGTAAGATGGCTTTCACAGCTTGAAACCCACTCTGTTTCTGCTCCTCAGCTTCCTGGATGCAAAACACATGGGGAAAAACCTCAGAGAAACCAGAATAAAAACTCCTACCATCCCTCAAATTAAGCCCTGCTCACCAAATATGCACAGATATTCCAGAAAAGCAACTTATCCAAATCAGTTCCTTTTTTCCACAGTGCCACCTCATATTACTCCAGCAAGGGTGCAAAGTTAGTATCACCATGGTACCTTAGGAGACTTTAGGACCACCAGTTTTGTTTCCTCTCATTCCCAACTGTCATCTCCATCACTTGCCCCCATTTCTCTACCAGCTTCCCCTCTGTGTTGGTACCCGGTAAAATATGTCCACTCACTAATACTCAAGACATACTTAAAGGTCTTCCTTGCAGGATTACACAGCAGAGATGACGCAGGTACTGAACTGGGGATTTTGTACTTTCCTCTGCCAAAATAACAGAACAGTAAAAATGCTTCTATACTAGTCAGCTGAGCTAGTTTGGAACCAGTAAGTGTGAATACCAGAACAGCCCAGTCCTGGCACAAATAGCTCACCTCAAGCTCATTTCTCTGCCTGATAGAAGGCAAATGTCATAGGTGTCCTAAGTTTTGACATCTGACTGAGCATAAGGACTAATGGATACCTTCCATACCGCCCTGTAACATTAAGATATCTTGGTCAATTATTCTACTAAAAAAATTATTTCAACAAGTTTCAAGGAAGGAAATTTACTTTTTACAATATCAGTGGTCTTCAACCAACAAAATAAACCTGGTAAGTACATCGGTCATAGCAGACAAACATACCAATGAATTTGTTTTGAAGGGAACATCATAATCCGCAGGAAAGTTCAAGCAGTTTTTGTTGTACCTATTTTAAAAGGTCCCATTCATCTTCAAAAGGTCAAAAGCGTCATGTGTTGCACATTCCTAGCACTTGAAAAATCCAGACCATTCATTTTACAAGACCCTATTTCATTGTTCTGCTTTAACTTCACTGTGCAACACAAAATGAAAACGTCCTTCTCAGCTTATTGTCAACTGGTTTTAATGAGGCCAATGGATCTATTTAAATGGTGGGGAAAAACAACAGTCTTGGGTTCCGAAAGCAAATTTTCCATCTCCATTTAAAATACAGCCTACAATAGAACTACACTGGTCAACAGCAGGGCTTTTTGTTTCTCTCCCCCAGCACACATTTCACAAATTGTGTGAGGACCAATGGAGCTTGGGTCACTTGCTAAGAATTTGACTTACAGTTATTAAGCTGAGTGAGGTTTACAATGCAGGAACTATTGATTCAATGCCCACATTATTATGGTCCTTCAAATGAGCTGGAAATTTGAGCACACAGCGCTGCGAAAGATTCTCTGATAAAAAGAGTTAAAGTATTTAGTGGGAACCATTCACACGAGGTAAACTCTGTCCAGAGAGCTAAAGGATTCTGGTGGCAAGAAAATAAACAACAAAACCAATCAAGAAGGAATTAGAAGAGGTCTGCTGTGAAAGCAGGATTGATACATTTAGGCTATAAATATGCTCTTCCAACTTAGTTTAACCCAAAATCAGCTCGTTATGTAAAAAAACTGAGCACACATTTGATCATTGTTATCACTGTCTAAATTATCCTCATAGACTTCACTAGAAAAGGTATTCCTTTTTGTATTTGTTTTTAAAATGTCACTTTCCAATAGGGCATTTTAGTGTCCCAGAGCCTATTTTATAACAAAGAGTAGCACCTTTTAAGATGCATTAACAAAACAGGGTGGGGCAGGATTTATTTTACATCTTTTAGAGCTTTTCAGAGTTCCCTATCAGCAGAACTTTCCTTTTAAGCTGAAGACAATTCTCTGCCAATTCTTTTGCATTTGGTTTGTTAGTAAAAAGGGAAAAATGAGGTTGGACAACTGGAAGAGACTGCATAGTTTCTAGCCACAATTCAGCTTTTGAATTCCTGACCAACTGAGCCAAAAATACGGATTTTTAGTGAAAAGCTGTTTATTTTACAAGCTAGTTGTGGGTACACAAAAAGTATTTTAAAAATGCTAATTCTTTCAATTGGTACTGACTCTTTGAGGAATTTATGTTCTTAACTGAAATAGCAGTGATATAGCAGCGATCTTTTTCCAAAAGTTTCCAGAACAGCAATTAAATAGCCACGTTCCTAATGCCTGTTAAAACAGTTAAAAGTTTTCCCTTTCCATTTACTACTTTCCACTTTAATCTGTAGACACATCTTACAAAGTTGGTGAAAAGCTGGAATTGTCTTTCCTGTCAAACATTGATAAAGAATATTCAAGAAACACCCACCAGCACTTCCCAATGTCAAAGACTTCTCTCAAATCACAACATGATACTGTAGGTGGGGCTTCTGCTAGAAAGTCACTAGTGCTTGTGAACCACAGCCTTTGACACTGAAGTCTCAGCTAGCTCCTCCTGAGCTCTACAGCTTCTCATCTTTATCCATTTAAATCAAAGACAAGAAATAAAAAAGGAGGTGGCATGAAAAGGCGTGAATACTGTAAAATATTGGCATTTGGAATGAATGCATGGGTAAAAACGTTAAGCCATTAAACAAAAGAGCGAGGTGGTAACTATGATCCATCTGAATCAGACCTGCTCTATTTCAATATGCCAAAGCCACTTGTAGTTTCTTCTCTCTTCGCCTTTGTCCAAGTTAGTTGGACAAAAATGACAAGTGGAAGGAAAGGTTTCAGCTGGAAAACCAACTACTAGAATGACGTGAAAGCTAACCCAGCTCCTTATTTTCACCCTATATTTTCTTAGCCCTGTATTTATGGTAGAAGCAGATCAATTACCTTTTTCTTCCCAAAGGATGTAGCTAAGTGTCAGTTCCAGCTGGAATTTCTCCTCTGCTCTAGTGGGCTGCAGTCATGCACTTAAAATTTTCACTTACCCATATGTTTACAAATGTAAAATAACAGGTTTCTGCACAATCTCAGTAATTCTAGCAACATTAATGAAAAAAACCACAAACCCATGCCCCTAAAAAAACCCAAAACAAAACCAAGAAAAACCCAACTTTGTACAAAGAGCAGAAGAGCAGAAAATGTTGCTGTTTATCACCAAGCATAACATGTAGAAGTTGATACTTCCAGTATTTGGATGAAATGACAAAAGGTATTGAAATGTAAAATCTGCCATGGGAATATTTATGAATGTTGCTTAAATTATAGTACAAAATGAAATTAATGCAAAGCTGCTGCTACAGCCTTCTAAGCAATTTAATTTATAGCTTGCATAAATAAAGAATTATAATGCATTCATTTGTTTCCTTCAATTTCTTACCTTGCCCTTCTGGAGTTTCACCAAAGGGATTCACTTCAACCTGAGTGGCATCAATTTTCAAGAAAAGATTATACAGCTTCTTAATTTGATCTGCTGCCTAAATTTGATCAAGTGATTTACAATTACCACATGGAAAAATAAAAGTCAATGTTTTCAAGGTAAAGGTAAACCATTAATGATTATTTTTAATGTATTAAATTGCACACTAGCTCTAGATAATTACTGCTTTTATTTCTGTTTTTTTAATCATATTTATATAGTATCTAAAATAGCTATAATGTAGCATTATGATACTGCATAACATTTAGTAAATGTGCATTTAAAGACTACATGAACCGGAGATTTTCTGCAAAACAAAGAGCACGATTACTATGACAAGTTTGATTTGAAAAGTGCCTAACAGTTCATACTGACACATTCTCCGGTATGCTGAGCTCTAAGTTGCATTCACATTAATTAGCCTAAATCCAGAAACCATAAAGCAGTATGTGCACATTAGTGACTTTAGAAAAAAACATACATTTCTCTTTCTTACATCAGTCTCAAACGCTTTCTTGAAGAAATCATGTCAGAAGCATGCTTGTTTACTCTTTACAAGATGCTCTTGCTTGTTCCTTATTGTTCCTTACCATCTGTCTGTCACTGGTTCTGTGGCCAAAAGTATTATGGCTGACTACTAACTGCCAAGTCTGTTGTTCTTGTAACATTCTTCTATTAACAGAAAAACTTAAACAGCAGCAACGTGAACGTGCATTAAAAAAACCTCTTTGGTTCATTACACACTGACAACCTATCGGCTGAAATAAGTTTGCAGATGAAGAAGTGCACTAATAAAGAACCATTCAAATGTGTTCCTTCATTCCTGATCGGTTAACTGAGGGGCACAAACCAAAAACATTTGGGATCTCTGCTAACAAGCAAAGTAAATGAGAATAAAAAAAAACAGAAGTCAGTTTTCTCCTACAACATCATTCATAAGAAAGAAAACATTACGACTGGAGGGTCTCGACCCAAATTCTGCACTACGTCATGAAAAACATGGTGAGGGACATTCCCATCTCCCTGTACTCAGTGCGGGCAAGGATGCAGCTGGAGTGCAGTGTCCAGTTGTGGGACCAACACGTCTAAGGCTCTGGAAAGAGTTACAGTTTGGAAGCAGCATATGAATTGCTTATGAAGTTTTCTCTGCTCAAAAGTCTTCAGTTGAAGCATTCTCAGTGGTTTTGACTTTAAAAAAATCATCAGTTATAAATCTGCACTTACCAAAGGCAACAGGTCCTTGGCATGGACAGTCTACAGTAACGCTAGGGAGGAAGTTCCAATGTGCAACCCCACACTGATTCTGAGCAGCCTGAAAAGCTACTGTGGCCCTAGTACGCTGCTGTAATTTTAACAGATCACCAGAACTGCTTCACTTTTAAGGGCTGCTCCATCTTTCAGCACCTCTCTGAATCGGGGAGCTTAATGTCAACATTTCTCTCTCTCAAGGTCTACAAGTACTGAGCCACTTCGAGACAAAGCATAAAATCCCAACCTAGAAATAGTGAATGTATAGCTAAATATTATGATTTGTCTGAATAAGAACTATGTCTCTATGCTTCAGCAAATTCCTTTGAGTTGATAGCACAAGAAAAGAAATGCATTCACTGCAGCATTATTTAAATGTATTGTTGAAAATCCATATATTGCTGTTAATTATTAAGTACCAGAACTCTTCAAAGGTTGAAAGGTTCTACATAATCATTCCTCCTCATTAGATATACAGCTAAATCTTCAAACGTGTGTTAATCAACTTAATGATTATGTATTTGTTAATTGCACAGTTGGGATAGAAAATAATTAAAACTGCTGAATTAAAAATAAAGGAGTTATACAAAAATGACAGTTTGATACTATGAAAAAAAACAGGCAAGAGTAGCTTAAACAAGCCTTCTCTTTTCTGCAAAATGATTCATAAAGGGAAAATATCTTGCATATTTGTGTACAATATGGAACACCAATATATATATAGAAAAAAAGATACTAAAAAGACAACAAGCTGGCAGCCTTTTGGTTTTGAGTTGAAGATCAGAAAAAAAAAAAGGCTTCAATTATGCAGAAAGATACACTTCTCATATTAAGGGCCAAATTTTACAAAAAATCTCTATCCATGTAATCCACTGAGCTCAAATGGAATTCCAATGAAATCAAAAGAATCCCATGTGGTGTAACAGCATGTTGCCATCAACTGCTTCAAAGACCAGGGACTTTCACTGTGGAACATTAAGGACTTTACTCAAATTACTAAAGCCTGATGACAATTATATAGGTGCAATTTAGTATTTAAAATATCAAAACAGTCCTGATCTAATGAATACTTAGTCTTTCATGTCTATTTGGAAAGCATTTACTGTATAGCTGAGCTGAAATGCCTTCAGTATAAATGAAGGGAGTTGAGTCAAGTTACCTGCTGTTGCAAAGGTCCTTCAAATCCCAAATTTTTTGCCATCTGCAATGCCTGATGATCCTTTATGCCTTCAAAAATATCTATTTCCTCCTGTAACAATAATGTGCATAAATATAACTAAATATTCAATCTGAATGGAGATTTATAACTCCAAAAGGAAAACACTTGGTATACATTTGCAAATTAGTAATTAAAGTATGGCTGTTTGCCAAAGTTCTCGGAGACTAAGTCTATAGCAGCTGCCTATAGGGTATGTTATAATTACCACACCAACTATGAAACAGTCCTTCCAAAAAATATATAATTCTTCAGGGTGGCATGCTGACAAGACAATGTGACACCAGTTTTCACTTTTAATTACTGTACAGATGGCGTTGACGAATATTTAGTCTGTTAATTTTTATGACATCTTCTGGAATCTTTTCAAGGCAATGGTGTCACTGCCCAGTAACACTGTGAAGTTTATATAATTTTAAAATGCACATTAAATATTTTTACAATTTTTTGAATAATTATACTTGATTGTATCAATTATTTTCCCAGATGAATAGCTTATCTACTCATTATCATGCCATAGTAACATAAAAATTACTTAAATGTAGTCCTTGTTAAGAAAACAATTACAACAGTTGGAATTCAAACGTAAAAATCATCCAGATACAAAGAAATAATTAACAATTCTGTCAATTAGAAAAAACAACCACAGAAACAATAACCATATTGGCCCTGACCACTTATGAAAAAACTGTGTACCTTCCTGAAAGGGAAACTCACTCCTAAAACATTTCAGATATTAAATTTAACTTATAACAGTCAGATTTAAGCTCTTTTTCTAAATCAAGCAGGACACTAACAAAATCAGATATTAAACACGCTTCATTTATCTGCTGGATGACAGGTTTGATCCCCTGTCTGGTGAAACAGAATTTTTATGGTTCTTATTGTCTTATTTCTACACATAGGAGGAAAAATGGAAGGAGAAAGGGGAAAAAAAAAAAGATATTATTTTGGATAACTGACAAGGAAGATTTTTAGTCTAAAATATTATTTTAATACCTTAAAGATAAGTTCTGGGCTAGTAACTGCAACTTCTTCTATGTCAACACCACCCTGTGGACTGCCAACCATAACAGGTCCATTGCAGGCTCTGTCCATCAAAATTGCGAAGTATGTCTCCCTGGAAATATTCAGTGCTTCTGCAACCATCACCTGAAAAGGAATACAGGGAAGAAAGAAAAAACAGCAACAGTTCTGCCTGGTCCATCCAGCTGGTGACACTTAATCTGAACATAGCATTGCTTCCGTGAGGTGTCAAGAGTAGCGAATGTTGTGACATCTTTTGCAATGTAAAAAGCAACTAAAAATTAACAGAACCAATGAGGGACAGTATTTCCCCCTGCTGTTATCAAGCAGAGAACACTGTGGCTCATGTTTTCTGCATTGCCTTGAAATGCAGCAGTTTGATACTTGCTGTCCTGAAAAGAAACGTTTCTTTCCTTGCTTTTACAAGATAGTACAACCTGGTGATTTTTTCCCCAAGAAATCCTCTCTCTCTAAATAGGAGACTGCCCTGATGCTGTTGTCCTCACTGGGGCATGTAACAAGCAGTGTAAACCAGGAACACCTAATTACTGGGTTTTTTTTCCAAGAAGAGAATTGGAGCTGCTGCTGTATCTGTAAAGGGCACCTCCATATTACCTTTTTATTCCCAACAAGCACTTTAACATGCTGGCCCCAGATAAACCTTGAGTTATAAGGGATTACAGTCTTGCAAATTTACAATTTTGCTTTTTTACAAGGGCATGTAGTGATAGGACAAGGGGCAATGGCTTTAAACTGAAAGCAGGAAGATTTAGATTAGATATAAGGAAAAAATTCTTCCCTCAGAGGGTGGTGAGGCACTGGAACAGGCTGCCCAGAAAAGCTGTGGATGCCCCATCCCTGGAAGTGTTCAAGGCCAGGCTGGATGAGGCTTTGGGCAACCTGATGTAGGCAAAGGTGTCCCTGCAGGGAGGCTGGAACTAGGTGATCTTTAAGGTTCCTTCCAACCCAGCCCACTCTCTGATTCTATGAAATCACAGAAGTGCAAGAGAGGGTACATCGACTTCCTGATGCATCGCATCAGTGGCGCTGGTCCTTACCAGCAAAGCCTCCGGCTTAAATTCTCTCCTTCATTCTGACACAAGGCCATCCTACACTTACAACCTCCGTACTGAATTCCTGCCCTGTCTAAATATTTCCTAAGGAAATGGGTATACAGATAATTCTGTCATCCAGCTTTTTACTTTCAATTTAGAGAGACAAGCAGATGTGTGACCTTCAGATACTGGCACGTTCTAGAAACACAAAAATTTATTTTCCAAAGAGCTACTCATTTCTATTTATTACTATAAACTCAGAGTCCTTTCATACCAATATCTGACAGACACCTCAGCATGCAAGAAAAAAAGATGATTCAAATCCTACATGTTGGGAATCTACAAATACTCACACTAAACTGGGGGGGAAATGGACCGTACAAATTCTTTGTTACAATTTTTTCTCTCCTCCAACAAATATGCCAAAGCCAAAGTCCTTTCCATTTCAGTATTACAATAACTGTATCTTGCTCTTCATCCGAACTGTCAATTTTTGCAATAGTTTAACAATAGCTATTAAAGCAGTTTCAGAGATTAAGTAGTTTTATGCCTGGTAAAGGACTCACAAAACTGTTTTGATGCAAGAATACTAAATTTCCCCAGATGTTGTTCATCTTATTAAAAAAAAGAACAAAAAACAATCAGCATATGATCATTACTAATTGTTCCTTATGATCATAACAGGTGCCATAATCTCAGGTGCAAAGATTGTTCTGCTCTGCACTACAGTTTTGCTTTTCAACCTGGAAGTTAGCTGAGCAGCCACCTCTGCAATTTAATTAGCATGATAGCGTCTCCTTCCAACAATCAACTATCTTCTCCCTTGGCAGAGCTACTATTACCTGTGTTTCAATGGAAGTAGTAGAAATCAGGACAATCACTTCCCTAAGATTAGTATGATTAAAAAGGATTAAATGGCAATGTCTTTCTAACGGGGTCTGTTTATAAAGTGACAGTTTTGAACCATGATTGTAAACAAAGGTTATCACTCTGAATGAAACAAAAGGTGAAATTCATTCTATCAGTCAGCAGTTCAAACTCCTTAGATCCAAGAGGCAGATATACACCTGCAGTCTTAAAACTCTGCTACCCGGCAAGATGTATTCCATCAAATAAGTATTCCTGGGGTTTTCATAGTTCAAGGACTATAAACAAGAAAGATGCACTATACTTTCACCCAAGTCGCTTTTTTGACATTCTACTCCGGAGTGCATAACAAAGAATGTACTTACCTTCTGCCAGGCTGTACGTCTTAACAGAACAGAAAAAAAAAAGTAAGAGACAAGGAATTAAATAAAGCCCTCTGTGCTCAGAATGGAAGCAAAGATGCTGTTTCTTTACGGGTTTTTTGACTTGGAAGAAATTTTCTTTACAGTAATTTTGTTTCCTCCTACTTTTACCTTGCTTTATTCATAGAACATAGGGTGATGCAAAGGAATAGTTCAAGTAAGCAACTGTTCAAAAGCAAACTAAAGAAAACTAGGGTGAAGCAGACAACTAAGAATGTAGAAAACTACCGTACTACTGAAAAGCATCTGCCTATTTTAGGCTACTATAAAGGGATGCTAAAAGCCAACTTCAGAAACACAGCTCAGCTACCTGCCAAGATGTCAAATTAAGAAGCAAAGATATCAAAAGCATCCTTGATTTGCTACTATTAGACTTTTTAGCTGCATGCATGTTTTCACCTTCTTACATCTCCTGCATCAATGTATCTGAAAAACGTGAGTCAATTGCTTTAGACATTGGCCAAATAAAACCAGCTGGTCCTACTGGACCTTGTCTGAGTTGTTCAGACAGTTTCCAGAGTGCTCAGGATCAGGGCCAGACTTAGGATGGGAATCCACTCAACAAGTCTTAAGGAATACATTTGCAAGCATGGCAGGTGGAACTTACATTATTAAATCAGGTATCTTTTCAACTGCTACTTCCAACCTGAGTGATTGTCCTTCACTATTGCTAATTAACCATGTCAACATCAAATATTTCTCTGTCTTAATTCACAAAACTATTACTGAGAGTCTATCTACTTTGTAGTAGGTAAGCCTACTGTAGAGTAAAAATTGTCAGAATGTGTAACATCTCTCATTTCTAATAACCAAAACCAGTTACTTTCCTTCACCATCCTCCCTGTCTGATGCAGAGCAAAGCCAGGGAACTTGGTGTTCAAGGTCTTAAAATATTATTTGTTAAAGTCTACCTATTGTTCATATGACAAAACTAATGCAAACACGTTAATGAAGAGATAAGAGTAATGAAATTGAATCTACAAAATGTTGACTCTTCCCACATTTTGTCTGTTTTGCTTATGATAAAGAATGTGATGCATCATTATCTGTTCACCACATCAGGTTTATATTTAAAATGTCCTGGGGAAAAAATTAGTTTTCATTAAAACTTCCTGATAACTTCAAGCTTTCCTTCTTCAAAACAAATCATTACCTAAAAGTTTAAGTCACATATCTAACTTCATGAGGGTTACTAAAACAGCTGTTTTATACTGAATCAATTATTCAAAATGTTAATTCTGTTATTGCTTGGAGAGAAAACACAGGTAGCAAATTCTCAGGTTGTCATGATAAGAGAAGACTGTCTTCTCAGATAATCAGGCTTTCCAAATTCCAAGCTGCCGTAAGAGGATTTTATGTAAACTCACAAAATAGCTTCCAAGTTACAAGGGAACTGAGGACATTGGTATTTATTTAAGAAACATCAATCTAACGAAGCACAAACATGCTTTAAATTCTGTAGTAGGTGCACAAGTTGAGAAAGAAGGCTGAAAACTCCATTTTCTGCTCCGTAATTATTCTAATTGTAGCAAATGTCTATCTTTTATTCCTTCCCTACAAATACATGTAAAAGGTACATGTCTTCCACTCCCTGACTTGACTGACTTGACACTAGCTCATTTTTTGCCTCGCAGAAAGTGACTTAGTAACTATTTCCCTTCTGAAAGATGTTTACTACCTTTTTTAAAATAAACATGAGTTCACTCAAACTTTCCAGAACAAAGTTTAAAAGCCACAAAACTTAAAAACATGCCTTTTCTTTTCTTTGTGAACTGCAATTTCCTTTATGTACATGCACACACACGTATTCTTACGTACACACAGAGAGCACAAGCCTTGAAATCGAACAAAAATGCCTGCTATTAGTTCTCCACTTTCCCACTGTACTTAGCAAGCACAGAGAGTCTGTCCAGCATTCTGTGCATTAAGTACCCACTGCATTAAATGACATCTTAGACATAGCTAAACTCATACTTTCAATCACACTACTGTAGTTTGCCCCTTGATTAAAATTTCAGTGTTTGACACTGTAGTCTTGATACTACGAACCTGAATGCCTCAACTCCTTTAACTACTTTGAAGATCCTAGAGTGAACTAACTTTAGAAAAGATAAACACTTATAAAATACATTAATTTTTATGGGAGATGGTCTTTTGATGACCTAGATGCATCATTTTAAGCATGCTTTCTTCACTACCTAAGAAGCAATGGGGAAAACATTAGCATAATGTTGGTCAAACTGTTACATGATTAATTAATTTAAAGCAGGGTGTATGCTCTTACCATAAATTAACAAGAATCAAGATCTCAACACCAAAAATACCATAAAACACACTATTACCTTGTTACATATGTATGTGATGAAGATATGAATTGGCCTAGGGCTTTTAAAAGCCAACTCTATAATCAGAATGGAAGTTTATGACAATAGACGATCAGCTTCTCCCAGTGAAAAGTATCACACTGATTTATCGCGCATCAATATTAAAATACTTGCAAGCTGTGTCCCGAAAAGATTCCATGTAACTCTACAGCAAAGGAAAAATACACAGTCTATCAAGGATATATACTTTCCTGTACCACCAAAACCAAATATCTGAAGTTCAGGAGTGCAAACTTCACCTTAAACATGACATATGCCCCAGCTGCTTAGTCCTGACCATTGTTTATTCATACAAGCAACATGCGGATGGGGAGTAAAGCAATGACAAGTTAAATCTTCTATAGCTATTCTATATATGGTACGAAAGTCATCTTAAAATAAACTATTTAAAAAAAAAACCCAACATCCATACCTTTCTTTCATTTCCATCAATTTCAAGGAAAATTATAAATTTCTTTTTCAGAACTGAATACATAAATGAATAAACAGATTTGCATTCAGACAAAAGAGTGAAATTTCCCATACTAATGTATTCATAGTAGGTCAACTAGGACAAAAGAATAAAACTAAAGAATTTATAAAAGAAAGCTGCTTTTACAATACAGATTTTTCAAAGCAGAGTGCCTTAATATGGGAAATGTATATCCTTTTTTATATCCTTGGTATTATCACAATCTCTGACAGATATGCCTTAATGGCAATACCGTTCCTTCTTTTTAATATCTAGTATTTCTTTTTAACAACAACTGTGAGGAGTGATGGTAATCTGCTCTCCTTGCTCCCCAAGAGAAGAACCGCTTGAGCACCTTCCCACAGCCCTCATTAGACAGTATCTTTCCAGACAGGTGTTCCCCATCTATGCTAATATACCAAGCTGTTCATAATATATTAAAAGTGAACTGCAGTTCTTTTCAGCTCATGCCAAATTATCTCCTGGCATCAAATACAGCGTGGCTCTTGACTACATACGCATATGAAGATCCTTGCTCAGTAAAACAAAGCAAGAGATAAAAATACATTTAGTAGATAGGCAATTGCTAGGACTTCCTGACATACAGAATTTTACTAAGGTAAAGGAAAATCTTGCTGAAGGGCCATCTATGCTTCTCTTATTTAGGTCAATACAGAGCAATATCTTCATGCTGAAGTGAATCTTGACACCTCACAGTATGCACCATCATAGGTACATGAATTACCACACATTAGCTGAACCACTACCATGACTACATTTCATTCTGTACCTGCAAGCAGTTAGGAAGAATCTACTTTTAGACATGTTTTTGGTGTTTGTGGTTTTGGTTTTGCTTTTGTGTTTTTTTTTTAAATTGAGATCATTCTCATGCGAAGTCATCTGTCACTATCTTTAATAACAGCTGCCCAAAGCTGATGATGAATGAAATATGGATAATATTATTACTACAGGTAATCATATATGTATTACTTCTCTAAGTAGAACATCAATAAGCATGTACAGTTTATGCTATATACAGTTATGCTAGCACTTAGTATGTATTTAATGAAGGATGAAGCTATGAGAAAAGATTCTCTTCCACACAGGTAGCAAAACTGAATTCATTTTTCTACCACTAGGGATGCTGAAATTGATAGCCAAAATACTTACACACAAATAAAGAAAAAGTAACATTTTTTTTCTTTCATCAACTAGATGCAATCAATCAGGTACTCAAAAAAGAATGAAAAAAAAAAAAATCACCTGTTTCATGCACCCCAGCATATTAATGCAAAATCACAGCTGAACACAGTCCTCAACTTTCAAGAAGCAAAAATCTTACCTTTCTAACTGTCACACCATCCTTTGGAGTTTGCTTTGTTGACAGATTGTACCCAATCATCTGTTTTGCAAGCTGTTCAACAATCTTAGGGCTACAAACAAAGGAAAAAGGTTAATTTATTGAAAGATATTAAAAGAAACAGTCACATAGCTACTGCAAACAGCTTAAATATTACAACAGAAGTAATTTATTCATGCTTTTTCAATTTTTAAGACTTACTCTTTAGTGAGATGAACTCCTCCTTTCAATCCACTATTGAAAATACCTTTTCCTCTCCCTCCAGCCAGAATCTGTGCCTTTAAAACAATTTCCTTTGCCTCTGCAAAAGAGAAACACGTTACTATTCTACTGTGTGTCATTTATTGAGTTTGTTAATGTAAGTTTAAAAAGCATTCCCAGGTTAGACTCTTTAAAAAAAACAACAAAAAGTTGTTTGTAACTAGTGAGCAATAAAACAAGAGTCAATTCAGCACTTTTATAAGGCAACCTTGCAAAAAAAGAATTGTTAAAGGAAGTTAAAGGATAAATATACACTATTTATTAGCTGGATAAATGTATCATTATTTAGATCAAAACCATGCTACTAATGCTACATGGTCTGCACAACAAACCATATAACCAGTGTACAGTTTGACAGCTTACACTCTGGCACGGTTTTTAAAACATGAATCAGATTGGATTTTGTCTTGAATGCACAACAATCAAGTGCTCATCAGGGAAAATAAATTCCATTCCTTGCTCTGAAAACACATAAGCAAATCTACAGATGTGGCCCTAAAAGAAGAAATCCCCATCTCCAAAGGGCAGGTAAGTGCAGAGCAAGTGCAGTAGCTGTGAAAACACAATTCACCTGTTCAAGGCATCTGTGGAATCTTTGGCAATGTCAGTGTCTTAGTAACAAGAAACTGCAGCAAGACACAGTGACAAAAGTAATTGCACCAAGACCTACGATCCAAACAGAAGCTATCTTCACACAGTTACAGAGTAAAACGGGGGGAAAAAGGAAAAAAAAAAAAACACATAAAAACATCACTGATGGTCTACACAGCTCCATGGACCACAGCAGCTTCTTGAACCATAAAGACCTGCCAGGTGCCTGCAAGATGTTTAGTTAATACTGAATACTGCCACTTTGCACATTTATCATAATACTGCCTGGTATTTTGCAAAGTGTGAGATCCTAATATTAACATATCATTAAGCAGCAACTAGAAAAGGCTACCCTTGTTATCCTTTTGTGATTGAGTCCATTCTCGCTGAAGTTTGTGGAAATCTCTGATTTCAATGATATCTGGATTAAGTCATGCCTTGAAGCACAATATTCTATGCAACTACGCAAGAAAACATGAGAATTTGTTGTTAAATTGACAGATTTACTGTTTAAGTGGCACAAAGGATATGGACAATTTCACTCAAACACACACAAGCTTTCTAGGCTCGTATTACATAAAAATATTCTACAGATGATTAAACATAAGTTTGGGGGTGTGGCAATTTTTGGTGCAGACCAGCTCTGACACAGCGTCATGTCAAAGTTCCAGTATAATAAATCTCAGTGACTAGAAAAAAAGCTGGATCTTAGGACAGAATAAATATTATGAAATATTCTATTTGCTATATTAAGACAGAAATGCATTTTCAATATAGCTATTGGTGGCACTGTACTAAGAGATGCCTGATTTCCAAGCTTCTCAAGGTAAAATCCCTCCACGTGTTTATCCATTCAGTAACATTTGACATACATCAAGTGTACTTATAAGTACACTCTCCTTGAAAATACTTCATGCATTCCAATATATTCATGTTCTGGGCTCCCTATTATTCATGCCATTGCAAGGCAGATAACAAGGAAATTTAAATGCAACAAAAAGTTTTATATCAAGTGCTTCCTAAGCACACAAATTATTAAGATGAATTAAAAATATAAATCACTTTCCAATCTGGAGCAGCAAACTCTAAAATCACAATAGCTGCTGTGATAATATAGTATTGTTAATAGATGCTGCAAGCATTTAATTAGATCAGTTTTAGGTGCCAGCCATCCCGACAATGTGAGTTTTGATCGTCAGCGATACGCGATATCGATTCTGTGAGTGATCATTACCCTCATTCCTAACCAGCACGCTACACGAGTGCTGATTGTCTTCATTTGGCTACAACAAATGAAGTTAGAGAAAGGAATTAACGTGCACATTTTTATAATCCACTAGAGGACTATCAAGGCAATACAATAACTTCAGACAAACAACTATCAAACCCATAAACAAACATACTAGCAAGTAAGCATAACCATGTAAAGATTAGACTGAAGAACTAATCAATACAGCAGCACGGCAGCGCACAGGTTCTTCTTGCCCTGGGGAAACCAACAGGAAGCGATTTAATTCAATAGTTATTTGCCCAAGCTCTGTAAAATGAAGTAAACCAGCCAGATCTTATTTTAGAGTAACTAGGCTTGATCATTCAGTACTTACCAAGTTGATTCACTACTTAACATCACCATTTTTTTTAAAGACCCGATTTCTAGAAAGGCGCACACATTTTTCTGCCATCTCCTGCCTGAATTCCCAAATTGTGTTATGAAAAGGCTATCTCAGAAGAAAAACGTGGTTTTAGCTGGAATATATGAAGTGACTCTCCTTCACTTGTAGGTGCTAATAAAAATAAATAAATAATCTAAAAAGCAGTATGCAAAGTCAGTATTGAACCCATTAAAAAACAAAAAGATGTAATTAATTTCCATAAGCACCCTTCCAACCTGCTGTAGTTACACTGGAAATATGTTTAACCAGGGCTGCATAATTATAAACACTGGATTTGAAGAGAACCTAGCACAAGCAATATGTCTTTACACCACCATGAAGTATGGGGAAACATTTTCAGCAGCACTCCATTTGGTAATTAAGGCTTCAATGAACTTCTGTTTATGTCCATTGACTGACAAGCCTTTGTGTAAATTCAAAAAAATCCATCCAGAACCTAAAAAAGAAACCCAAACAACAAAACAGACTGCTTCTTAAGTGTGCATAGGTTTGTTTTTTTTTTTTTTGTCACAGATTTAAAGTTTTCTTTATCATTCAAAACAATAAAAAAGACTGCTTTCAAGTGTCACTAATTTAGCAGCAAATAGCCCCAAACTGCTCGATGCAGCTTAATGACGCATTTCTGGTACCAGCATGTGTTCTTAACTAATTATAACTTGAATACATTAATATCTCAGACTTAACAGTTTATTCGCCGGATCTTATATTTGTCTTTTTTACATTAATCTACAGAAAAAGAGAGACATGAACATTTCCAAAAAGTCCTTTAAAAAAATGGAGCACGATACAGCTTGTCCCTAAGCCAGATGCCAAGCAAGACATTTACTCCTCAGAGAAGTCCTCAGAGTTTAAAAACTCTAACTTCACAAATGTAGCTGGGTCTAACCACATTTCTAAAAAAATTAAATCTAACCACATAGGAAAAAAGCCTGGAGTACTTTTCTTTTAAATAAATTCAGATGTTTCAGCAGAACAGAATATAACACTCCAAGGGACAAACATCCTCAGCATTGCACTCAACGATACATCTCCTTGGCTTCAGCCAGTGCTGTGAATACAAATGGCAATGATACTCCTTGCAATTGTAATAGCCTCAGTTCTATAATGAAAGCCTATTTAAAATCAATAAAATCAGTCCTGCTTTTGGGAGCTATGATTACTCTGGTCCACTGGTACTGCTTGCAGTAAAAATGAACAGCTTGTTCTCAGCCCACTGCTGTGTATATTTAACTACTGAATTCTTGATCATGAAACAACATACTGAGAACCATGGCTCTGCTAGTTACATGGTATGCTAATTTATTACCTGTGAACAACTTTTCATTGTTATTGATACGACTGCGCGATTGCAAATTAGGCATGTTAACAATTACATTGAAATTTGCTGTAGCTTATCAAAAATAAACTACTGTAAAGAACAGATGATGTAAGACTGCACGGTGACAGATCTCACTCTTGCCTGTTTAGGAACAAAAGATTTTCTATCCGAGAATACTCAGGACTACTTTGGCAAGGCATCCTACACCACAGAATCAGAGCACAGGACTGAAAGGGAGGAGACCTCTCACGAAATCCTAATCACATTCCTATCTCACCATGCGACTTTCAGCAGTTTGGCTTCTCTATCTGCAGGGGCTCCGTGAAAATCAATTAGCATCTACACCTCTTTGAAAAACGCAGAACCAGACAGAATATTATATTAGTGTAACTTTACCCCAGTGTAAGGCAACTGATCACAGAAGGGCTGACCCCAAACCCTGCGGCAGCAGCAAAGTGTCCCGGGAAAACGCCCCAATCCCTGTCGCAATGAGCTTAGCACGCATTGCAAAGAAGATGGAAGCAACCCAGCTCATGGGAGCAGCGCAATGAAGACAAATTGAGGACATGCCAAATCAACGTCTTTCAGAAGCACTGTCTCCTTACTGACCTAAACGTGAGCATAAGCACTGAGTTTAGAAACACACAAGAGCTGTTTCCACAAAGGCAGCAGGGCTTAACAACATTCCTCCACCCTTCGGTACGCACAGGAGGACCAGCCTCATGTGGTCAGGCAGATATTGACCAGTTTCAGGAAATCTGCTAGTCACCCTTCTTTAACTAAAGTCATTAAGCTGTTTGATGAGCTGAACTCTTTAAGCACATCCTCCTTCCCAAAGTCCTGAAAGAGCTAGATGGGGTACATGAATGTGCAACCAGCTCCAAACTCTCCACCTCTACGAAGCGACAGAGGCCAATCTAATGATGTATTTACCTGGTAAAACTCTTCTGAGGGACACAAATCACTGTTATGCTTGGACATGTGCAACTTTAAGCTCCCCTTCGGCCAGCCAAGCTTTAGTCACCGTCTTTTTCACGGTTGTCTAGAGTATTACTCCACTAAGGACTGGCTGGGACTCCCACCGGATGACCAATTCCACCTCCCAACCACCTATGCTGGACACTGACGTCCTAAACTAGAGCAGTAAATTCAGTGCTTCCCTTCCCAAAGCAAGGGTTTTTTTT